TGGCGGCAGCGGCAGCGGCAGTGTTCCCAACTCTAGCGGGCGCTTGTTCACACACGGCAGGCGCCTCGGGATCATATATGTGTGTGTATCATGTATGAGTGAGTATACACACGCGCGCGCGTAGCCACGGCGTGGTGTAACGCCCGGGGGGTCAGGAGGGGGAGGTTGTGATGGATGGATGGATGGATGGAATTGGATGGATGGATGTGGATGGATGGATTGGAATGGATGGATGAATGATGGATTGGATGGATGGATGGATGGATGTGATGGAAAGATGATCTGGTAAGGATGGTATATATATATGGATGAATGGATGGATGGATGGATGGATGGATGGATGGATGGATGGATGGATGGATGATGGATGAGATGCGATGGATTGGATGGATGGATGGATGGATTTTGGGAAAAAGATGGAAAAAAATTGGGGGATTTGGATGGATGGATGGTATGATGGATGGATGGATGGATGGATGGATGGAATGTCGATGGATGGATGTGGATGATGGATGATGTGATGGATGGATGGATGGAAGTTGATGGAATTGGATAGGATGGAGGATGGATGGATGGATGGGATGGATGGATTGGATGGATTGGATGGATGGATGGATGGATGGATGGATGGATGGATGGATGGAATGGATCTGGATGGATGGTGGATGGATGGAATGGATGGATGGATGGATGGATCGATGGATGGATGGATGGATGGATGGATGGATGGATGGATGGATGGATGGATGGATGGATGGATGGATGATGGATGGATGGATGGATTTGAGTGGATGGATGGATGGATGATGGATGGATGGATGGATGGATGGATGGATGGATGGATGGATGGCTGGATGATGATGGATGGATGGATGGGATGGATGATGGCTGGGATGTTTGCTGGATGGATGGATGGATGGATGGTAATGGATGGAGGATTGGATGGATGGAATGGAATGATGGATGGATGGGATGGATGGAGGATGGATGGATGGATGGATGGATGGATGGATGGATGATGGATGGATGGATGGATGGATGGATGGATGGATGGATTGGATGGATGGATGATGGATTGGATGGATGGATGGATGGATGGACTGATGGCGATGGATGGATGGATGGATGGATGGATGGATGGATGGATGGGATGGATGATGATGGAGTTGGATGGATGGATGGATGGATGGGCGGATGAGTTGGATGGATGGATAGGATGGGTGAATAGAGGATGGATGGATGGATGGATGGATGATGGATGGATGGTGCTGATTGTTTGAATGGATGGATGGATGGATTGCGATCGGATGGATTTTGGATGGGTGGATGGATGACGGATGACGGCTTGAGTGGATTGGGGGTTGGATGGATGGATCGGACGGCCGACCGGAGACGAGCCGGAGGCCACCCAGATTGATAGTTTAGCGATGGATAGGCCGGACTGAATGGGAATGATATATAAACCCGTACCGTAGATTAAAGAGGCACACGCTCCCCTGCCACTGAATCAGCAGTCGCATCCCTGATACAATCCCATCTTATTTCAACGCAGTATATTTCAATTAGATTTCAATGCTCTTATCTCCGTCCGACGCGACGGTTAATACCTTTGAATTTTCCTTCGAAAATTACATTTTAAAATTTCAATCGGGTTTCAATCCGTGTTATCAGGGTTTTGCAATCGTTGTGTAAAACGGGAAGCGATGCCGAGCGAAGGGGCGGGTTGGTTAGGCAGAGGCGCTCGCATCCCTATCAACAATACTCGAGGTTTCGAAACTAGTGCCGAGTTCAGCCTTGCTTCGGCAATAAATAATAAAAGCAAACAACATCAGCAACGCCGCATGTATTTCTATGTTCTGTGTTATGTTCTGTGTGCGGTGCGGGTATTTCTATGTTCTGTGTTATGTTCTGTGTGCGGTGCGTGTATTTCTATGTTCTGTGTTATGTTCTGTGTTATGTTCTGTGTGCGGTGCGGGTATTTCTATGTTCTGTGTGCGGTGCGTGTATTTCTATGTTCTGTGTTATGTTCTGTGTGCGGTGCGTGTATTTCTATGTTCTGATGTTTAATGTTCCTGTGTGCGGTGCGGGTATTTCTATGTTCTGTGTTATGTTCTGTGTGCGGTGCGTGTATTTCTATGTTCTGTGTTATGTTCTGTGTGCGGTGCGTGTATTTCTATGTTCTGTGTTATGTTCTGTGTGCGGGCGGGTATTTCTGCGTGTTCTGGTTATGTTTCTGTTTGTGCGTGCGGGTATTTCTGTGTTCTGTGTTATGTTCTGTGTGCGGTGCGGGTATTTCTATGTTCTGTGTTATGTTCTGTGTGCGGTGCGGGTATTTCTATGTTCTGTGTTATGTTCTGTGTGCGGTGGCGTGTATTTTCTATGTTCTGTGTTATTCTGGTGTGGGTGTCGTGTATTGTGCTTATGTGTCTGTGGGTTGAGTGTTCTGTGTGCGGTGCGGGTATCTTCTATGTTCTCGTGTTTGGGTCGGGCGGGGTATTTCTCACTATGTTCTGTGTTATGTTCGTGTGTCGCGTGCGGGTAACCTTTCTATGTTCTGTGTCAGCGGTGCCGGGGTAATTAACTGGGTGTTCTGTGTTATGTATCTGTGTGCGCTTGGGGCGGCGTGTATTTCTTATGTTTCTTGTGTTAATGTTCTGTGTGCGGTGCGGGTATTCTAATGTTCTGGTTTGGTCGGGCGGCGTATTTCTTATGTTCTGTTTGTTTTAATGGTTCTGTGTGCGGTGTGTCGGGTTTATATTTCTGATGTCTCTGTTTGTCGGGCGGGTATTTCTATGTTCTGTGTTATGTTCTGTGTGCGGTGCGGGTATTTCTATGTTCTGTTTGTCGGGCGGGTATTTCTATGTTCTGTGTTATGTTCTGTGTGCGGGGCGGGTAAAGTTTCTTATGGTTGCTGTGCGTTTCTGCTGTGTCGGTGGAGATATTTCTATGTCTGGTGTGCGCGTGGAAGATAGTTGTCTATGTTCTGTGTGCGGTGGGATATTTCTATGTTCTGTGTGCGGTGGAGATATTTCTATGTTCTGTGTGCGGTGGAGATATTTCTATGTTCTGTGTGCGGTGGAGATATTTCTATGTTCTGGTTGTGCGGTGGAGATATTTCTATGTTCTGTGTGCGGTGGAGATATTTCTATGTTCCGTGTGCGGTGCGTGTATTTCTATATGTTCTGTGTTATGTTCTGTGTGCGGTGGAGATATTTTCTATGGTTCGTGTGTGCGGATGGAGATATTTTCTATGTTGCGCGTTGCGGCTGGAGATATTTCTATGTTTCCGTGTGCGGTGCGTGTATTTCTATATGTTCTGTGTTATGTTCTGTGTGCGGTGGAGATATTTCTATGTTCTGTGTGCGGTGGAGATATTTCTATGTTCCGTGTGCGGTGGGGATATTTCTATGTTCCGTGTGCGGTGCGTGTATTTCTATGTTCTGTGTTATGTTCTGTGTGCGGTGGAGATATTTCTATGTTCCGTGTGCGGTGCGGATACTACCGACAGCACGTGCGACTAGCGAGCGAGCGGCCGAGGGAACAACACAGCAACGTGCGAGCGAGGCGCGGGTAGTGTTTCAGACACGGAAATATCCTCGGTGCCCCTCCCTCTCTCCCCCGGCCGCGGGGAGGGAGAGGAGGGAGGGTTGTCTTTTGCTATTGTTATTGTTGTTGATGTTGTTGCTGGGTTGTTTTTGTTGTTGTTGTTGTTGCTGTCGTTATCGTCGTCGTCGTCGTCGTCGGTATTGTTGTTGTTGTTATTGTTGTTGTTGTTGTTGTTGCTGCTGCTGTCGTCATCGCCTTCGTCGTCGTTGGTGTTGTTGTTGTTGTTGTTGTTGTTGTTGTTGTTGTTGTTGTTGTTGTTGTTGTTGTTGCTGCTGTTGTTATTGTTGTTGTTAATAACGAATTAGACCCTGGGCCTTTCTTCGGTTATTATAAGGCCGACTCCGTGCACCGCCTGTGTACAGCCAGCCCGCGCACATCTTCCACGTAGTAACACAATTTCCCCTACTGCGTGCGTTTCGGAATTTTGTTGCCTTTTCTTCGTTTGTTGGTTTAGTTTCGGTTTCATCGCAGTCGTGCGCTAGTATCGCTTTCCGTTGTCTGCGGGTTTTTACCGGCGTTCGCCTCTCATTATAACCCCATTAGTATTGTATGTAGTTATCTGTATATATAACAATAATAATTAATAGGGTGGTTTACTGCTTGTAGGTTACCAAAAATTGCCACACCCCTACTACATATATATATATATTCCCTATTATCTACTTCTGATATATATACATATATATCAGGAGTTAATAAAGACAAATATATATTACAATAACAAATACAATATGTACAATATATACAAATAACATATACAATAACAACTACAAATGATATATATATATTGTAGTCGCTGGATAATTTCTGCTGCCTGACAACTGTGCGCTATAGCTGTGTAGCTCTCGTGCGGGCTGTTTTATACCCCCTCTTGCAAGATGAGCCGCGATGCCACTACCAAATATGCTTCTACCAATCACTGTTGGCTACAGGGAAGGCATAGAGTTCCTTATTAGCGCAGATGGGGTCGTTGTCGTATCAGGTACTACAGATATGTACCCGAGGTAGTTTTAGGTTGTTTAGTATTATGTTTATATTTTATTATGAGTATGTTTAGGTTAGGGTTAGGTTAGAGTAAGGATTAGGTTAGGGTTAGGGTACACTTCTGTAGTACAAGTCTGGTACACTTTGTGTATACATATATGTACCTCGGTACATTATCTGTAGTACTGATACGACAACGGACCCCTTGAGCCTTATTAGCGCCGTATGGACAGTTCTAAGGTGTGACGGAATGAATGGCCATTGGCGAGTCGGGGTTGGAGATGTTTTGCGCCCATCGGGCACGTAGATGGCCGACGGCGGTATGACGTAGGGCTGATGGCACGTTGCGGCAATTTAATAATAGGGCGATATAGAGATACTCTTTATATGTGTTAATGTGTGGGTTTAAGATGCTACGGCACGAAAAGACGACCCGCGCTAATGTGGTTATGGTGTCCAGTTTGCCAATAAAGCTATAGCGCAAACTACAGTGGCTAAGTGGTGCAACGTGAAACTAAACCCTGTGAAAACGAACGGTGTGTGTGCGGTTGGCACCCCGCGTTGTCTATTAGCAGCTGTTTATGTGTCCAGCAGTCCGGAGATAGATCGTTGCTTCCAGCTTCAATGTTTATGGTGTAAAATTAGCATGTGTGTGAGCTGGTATTAGATGCTTTCGCGGAATGACATTAGCGTTGCTACAATATATTATCAGAAGTAGATAATAGGGAACCCCTATTATCCTTATTATCAAGAGCTAATAATACCTCTTGTATTAGGTATGTATCTCTTGTAATAGGTATTATTAGCTCTTGCTATTATCTACTTTTGGTATTATGTATATGGGTGTATGTGTGTGTGTGTGACGTGTGTGTGGTGTGTGTGTGTGTGTGTGTGTGTGTGTGTTGTGTGTGTATGCGTGCGTGCGTGCGTGCGTGACCTGTGTGTGTATATGTGTGCGTGCGTGCGTGCGTGCGTGTGTGCGTTGTGTGTGTTTGTGCGTCTGTGCCGTAGTGTGTGTGCGAGCGTGTGCCGTGCGTGCGTGCGTGCGTATGTGTATATATATATATTCAAACACATGCCTTTGCAGCTGCAAGTAAATAGCGACACGTGTTTTTTTCTTGCAATTTTACACGTTTCTAACGGTTCGGCGCCGTTTCCAACTATTTAGTTCGAATCATTATAGCCTCGTTCACACGAGACCTCGTATTTATCAAATAGGGTTTTTGCGAAATACCGAATCTGAGACAAATACGCGGCCCCCGACGCGCTTCACACGCTGATTCGCGGCTCCAGAAAATGCCGTATTTGCGAGCTGCGAGCTGCTTTAAGCACAACGCACACACCCGAGCAAAACTGGGAATTTTTGTTTTCCAGCGTTTCGCGTTCTCTCGGCGCACAAGCGCACACACGCCAGCCCTACACAGCACACAGCTGAGCAAAACATACAGAAACACTGCGTACAGCGCCGCTGTCACATGACATCAAAAATAGCCATCCAATGGACATCCATTTTTGTGTGTCATGTGATATTTTTAAGGATATTGATTGGAGACCGTCTGTGGCGTTTCGCTGTGTGCAGAACGATTTGACGCACACACCCGAGCAAAAACGTACGCTCAGGCGAAAACACGCTCCGCGCGTCAATCAAACATTGCCTTTGTCAGCGAAACACGCTCAGCTGAGCGATGTTTTTTGTCGGTCGGGTATTCGCACACAGCCACGAACATCCGAGCGAAACACGTTTTTGCTCCACGTTCAGGGGGCCGGTTTCACGAAGCTACTTAAGTATTGAATCGTGATTAAATCACTAATCATGATTAACTTCTCGTACTTAAATTAAAGTGACTGTTCACGAAGCAGTAATTAAACTTTAATCACAATATTAATTCTACTCAGGAGCATGATTAAATCCACTAATCCATAATTAGTTGCTAGTACTAGAACTTAGAAGTAGGTAGTACTAGTATATTAAGTACGCTGCAGATTTTCCAATTGGAAATTTTACTTCAATTTTTCCCAAGGAAATTTAAATTATCTAAGATTTGCTGTACTACTTCAATCATTATAGTTACAAATTAATTCCTTTTCATTAGCCGAACTTGAGATATTTTTGGCGTATTGGTCCGCCATATTGATACTGTGTAATTTGTTTTAGACTGGTACTCGCTCCCACCTCGCATTACTCGATTCCCATCGACAGTAACTAAGCCGAGGGGGGAGCGAGTACCAGTCTATTCATGTTGAAGTCGGCTAATTATGTGATTAGTTAAATATGTACTTTAATCGCTTCGTGAAACAGATTTTTGAGTATGATTAACTAATCATAATTACGGGAAGTTAAGTATGATAGGTACTTTAATCATACTAAGTTAAGTACGCTTCGTGAAACCGGCCCCAGGTGTTTTGCCGGGTGTGTGCGGTCGATGCTTTAGTAACAATCAAGCGAACAATGCGAAATAAACAATGCAGATGCGCACCAACTGCCGATAAAATACGTAGACGGGTCCGCGCTTCGACAGTTCCACTCGGCGTTGCACTTTACGACGGACCAGTCTATAAAATACGCGGCTTCAGAAATCTCGGTATTTAGCTTCACACGCAAGAAATGCGGCGTCCAACGAAGATCCGGTATTTCTCAAGACGGCAAATTATTCGGGGTCTGGGAAGCCGCGTATTTTCAACAAAAACCGGATCTGTTTAGATTCCGATATTCTTGCGACGCGCATTTTGCCTCGTGTGAACGCTAAATACCGAATTTCTTGGCTACGTTTACGCGCTTATGTTTTCCTTGTTTCCACGTGTAAACAGAATACCCATGATGGCTGCCAAGCCTGTTTGGCCCCCAACCCAATTTGTTTAACTTGTACATGAACAACGAAATACATGTGAAGAACTCGAACCTTGCACACACGCCTCGTTCGTTGATTCGTATTACGTATTCCTGATCTTAGTATCTGAAGTTAAGTTTAGTACTTGTAATATTAGCAGGAGTGTATAATACAGATATTACTCTATTAGAGATCTATTAACTCTATTACTATATAGAGAGATATAATATCTCCATTATAAACTCCTGATATTAGCAGTATTATACATAACTTGTGGTCCATGGACCCCTTTGGGGTCTGTCGATGGGCTTCAGGGGGTCCGTGAACCAGGCGCATAAAAAATTATTGTGTTTATGTGCTTATGTGCATTTTTATGGGCGAGGGGTCCGTAGCTTTTCATAAAGGGGGTCCATGGGGGATTCTCAAAGGTGGTCCATGGGGGATTCTCAAAGGGGTCCATGACTCAAAAAAGTTAAGAACCACTGGATTAGTCGAATCTACATGAGATATGCGTGAAGTAGGGACCTCAGGGACGCAGATCTTTCCCTCTATCACTCGATGTGGGTTCGACGAGCTTATCACTCCATGCCATTCAGCTATAAGTTATCTTGAATCTCTGATCTAGATTGCTTTTAGCGTGAACGTTTATTTTAGCGTGAATGTTTAGTAATTTAGCGTGAACGTTTATTTTAGCGTGAATGTTTGGTAATTAAGCGTGAATGGGTTCAGGTGATGAACAGCAAAAATCTCGCAGACGGAAGTGAAAAAAGTGCGTGCGTAATTTGCAGTTGTATAGTTGCCACGTGTGAGATCTCGTTATTACTACTAAAACCAACCGTCCTCCCCACCCCTTACAGGGAATCCCAAACCTGCCATCTATTGTCGTAAATAAACATGAACCGAAAACCGTCCCAATCTTGTAAATTGCATTGGTATTAAAGCCCGGCGCACACGTGAGTTATTTTACTTCAGCGTGTGGCGGGGATTTTCGTTGAGCTAATTCTACAGCATGGGCGTCATTTTATTCTTGAGTAATAATAACTCACGTGTCGCGCCGGGGCTTTATTTTAAATTATTATTATTTATTATTATTAGTATCTATTATTAATTAATTGTAATTTTGTATAAATAGTTTTTTTATTGTTTTTTTTTGTAATTTTTTTCTTTCTTGTTCGTTGACAGGCTGTGATGACAATAGTACTGGGAGGGTCCTTTGGTCTCCGTCATGGGATCGGATATCTAACATCATGGCGCGACTCTGACGACTGGACAATCTATCCACGGCCTACCAGTTCCTCATGTACACGCACGGCACTGGCTGCCTGCTAGGCCCACCCATCGCAGGTAATCTCAAATAGTCCCTGTAGGGGTCATGCATGCATGTGTGTGCGTGCGTGGGCCGTGCGTGGCGTGGTGTTTGGGGGTATGTATGTGAGCTGTGTGCTGTTGGGGGGGGGGGGGGGGGTATGCGTGTGTGTGTGTGTGTGTGTGTGTGTGTGTGTGGTGTGTGTGTGTGTGGTGTGTGTGTGTGTGTGTGTGTGTGTATTGTGAGTGTGTGCCGCATGTGTGTGTGTGGGCATGTGTGGTGTGTGTGTGTGTGTGTGTGTGTGGTGTGTGTGGTGGTGTGTGTGTGTGTGGTGTGTGTGTGTTATATGTGTGTGTGTGTCGTGTGTGTGTGCATGGTGTGTGGGGTGGTGTGTTTATGCCGCGTGCGTGGCGTGGCGTGCGTGGCGTGCGTGCGTACGGTGCGTACGTGCGTAGCGTGGCGTACGTGCGTACGTGCGTGTGTATGTATAACTATACTAATATGTATATGCATATATGTGTGTTTCAGGAGCAGTGTTTCAGCACACCCGCGCCTATGCGAACATAACGTATATATATATATATATATATACTACTATATATATATTATATATATTATATAGTTGTATATATATATAATATATATATATACGATGTATAAGCCATGTTCGTTCGTCTGCTGGCTACTGGCAGAAGCGAATGCCGAAACATTAATGATTGAAATTATGATTAATTATATTATAGTCAGGAAATAATTTTTCCTCGGAGAGCAGGAGCTTGCGTGGCGCATTTTAGAAGTTCATGTGTTCGCGTAACCATGCGTGGAGGGTTTTGTGAAGGTTATCTGTGAGTGTGGTCAATATATATATTATATATATATATATATATATATTATATATATAGTATACGGGTGTGTATATATATGTGTCATATATTTTGCAGGTGCACGTGTTCAGCACAGCTACGCTAACATAAACGTGTCATGTATTATATTATATATATATTCATATATATATACTATATATATATATATATATATATATATGCGTGTGTGTGTACATGTACATGTGTGTATATATGTATAGTACGTGTATGTATTCAGGTGCAGTGTTTCATCACACCCGCTCCTACGCGATGCCGGTCTTCACGGCAGGTGGCCGTGCTCATCGCTAGCCTCCATCCTATTCTTCATCAGAATCATGTACGGGACGAAGGAGAGAAAAATAAGACGCTATCCGCGTGAGAAGATGAAAATTAACGCTCTGTGGTATACCTCG